TGAGATGAAGGGTAGGATAAACGGGACCCTTCTATAGCTAGAGTTGTCGTTTGGAGGCCTACGATTTCCTCTACACCTATCCTGAGCTACAGTTTCGTAGCCATTAGAAACGACTATTTGCCGTGCCAAGTTCCGGGACTCCTCTCTCTGCTCTCTTCCCGTGCACACGTTGGTTGCTGTTCGAAACATGTTTCTTATAAGCGCCCTTTTCGTGTGAGAGGGGTGAGAGGAGAGGTAATGAACCAAGATATTTTTACTACTTGGCTTTCGCCCGTTGGCGAAATTCGCCGAAACGTCAGCTTAATCGTGAACAAAGAACAATAACACCTCGCGTTTGCTCAAAAAAAATACGAACAAAATCACTTGATCAATGCCGAGGTTAATAGAAAGTCGGTCGTGACAATTTAATGAATTTACTCATGTTTCCTGTTACCTGGTAGCAACCGCTTGCAATTTTTTCTTTCTTCTCTTTCTCTAATTCGGCTTCCCGCTATCGTCGTTAACTTACTGCTGGAGGTTTCACATCAGGATAGGGCACTAGATGATAACTTTCTTCCCTACCTTTTACTTCTTCCTTTTTGTCGCTTTTTTCTGGACTGTTTCCTTTGATTTTAAATTTTCCTACAAGAGTTCGTCTACATGTCAAAATAACCGGAAGGCGATTTTGTCACGTTTTCCCGAGTTTTACAATTATCTTAGGAGCACTGTGGTTGTGTTTTACATTATATCCTGCCTTAAAAAATAAAGGCAGTTCATAAAAAGTTAGACGATCGCCAATTATTTTTTCTAGTTGTAACCAATTGTGTAATTTTGCATTAATAACCGTCATTTTTACTATTTCAAAAAGAAATATCAGGCCTAGCATGCATTAATTTATACCAATCGCTTAGTTTTAAGTCGTATTTCATTCACTGTTTTTTCCTGTCGGTACTAGCCAGCACAGCATTATCGTAGACCTATTACTTTCTCCTCCCAGCTTTTTACCGTCTCATCGTAGCTGGGAGGTGTTTCTGAGTGTCGGACTGCGATATGCAACGGAGTATTCGTAACTTCGGCAAGGTATCCCAATCTGAGAAGGAGTCCCGCGTTCAATTAGGAAGCACAGCTAAGAGTACGCCAGTACCAGATCTACCATCGTTCTGGTATGAAATTAGTCTCATGGTGGGAAATCCTCTGATCCACAAAAGCCGAAGATTGCGTGTGGTGGTAAAAACCTGGGGCATACTTTGGCCAGACTGATCTCGGGACTCCAGAGAAACACAAAGGCTAGACGAGCGAAACTCCGGAAATACGGAAATTATGCTGGGGCCCATACAACCAGTGAAGACGCGCCCTCAAAGTAAGTATCCAAGTATTACTCTCTCACATTCATGCTCGTTCTTATCAAACCTTCACCTTATGCCAATCTCGCAGCACTGAGTTAAAAAATAGAAAAATAGAAGATAAAGCACCTAGGGTTCATCGTTCACCTATGGATGTTTCGTGAGTCCTTGGCCCTACTGAGTATCGTGAATGAGATTGAATGCGTGTTACGTCTAGAATTCCTTTCGATAACTCGTCTATGTATGAGGTCAATTTATTTTATTCTTCAACCCTGGTTTGGTACCAATTAGGCAGCCTCGGGGAATGATGCCAGATTAGCTCGAGGTGAGGGGTGAAACAAAGACCGAGTTTGCTCTGGGAAGCACTTCCGAGTACTGCGTTACGTGCTCCTTGCGTTCAGTCATGCTTTTTAAAAAGAAATAAAGGGATTGAAAGGATATCTATCATGAAACATAACTGGAAGAAAACCCTGAAGATCACTCCAGGTAATATCGGTCAAGTGAAGAAATTTCGTCAGATCGTGCGAAGCCATGCCCAAATTTGGCTCGTTGTGGGTGGTCTCTATTAACTCGTATTTCAAGAGGAATAAAAAGTGTTTTTAACAAGACGATCACTCACAAATAGTACAAAGTTAGCAGTCAAGACCACATAGTATGCTCGATTTAATAGGCCAGCTGCTTTTCGCATGCTAACGAAAATGTCGAAAATGACTTAAATGTCATTCTCATCACTTATATACAGATGGATTGGCCGGAGAGAAACAAATTCTTTTCAATGGATAATCACTATCAACAGTAACTCTATACAATATAACTGAATAAAAGAGCCCACAGATCTCCCCCACAGAGTAATCTCATGCAGGTTAGCCGCGAAGCAACGTGCTCGTCCCCGCTGACGTACAGGGGGTTAATAATCGCTGACCAAAAGCGACCTTTGCTTCCCTGAGACGCAGGTGGATAGAGGGATGGACTCCCTGTTTCTGAAACGCCGATTTGGCACATACTTTCTGTATTCACGAGAACATATTCATACATGTGTGTGTGGGTGTGTCCTCGTTTATGCGGATTGTATTCTACGAATCAATTCGGCCAAAAGCCTGCAATCAAGTGGTAGGAAAGTATATGGGAAGCGGTTAGGAGTCGCCTCCAACAAGTAACCTCTATGTCCACTTTGGAAGAGACTGCGAAGTTACCTGTGAGTGTACCCAACCCCCACGTTCAGAACTCAACAAGCTATACGTGGGTATAAAAAGCTAAACACGGTAAAATAAACGGGCCCCATTCCTCTGACCCCGAAAGAGCCTCCAATTTCGCAGCGTTGGGTAGGACGAGTACGGAGAGGCTGCTAAAATGGAAAAACTTAATTCATTATCTAACTGCGCTGTATGTACATTTTCGTCGCTTTCATGTTTGTATATCCATAAATTCCATTTTACTGTCAAAAAAATGTCGTTCTCAAATATAGCGCACTGGGAACCACTTATCCTAGTCTTGGCCATAACATTAATATGTTTTTGACAAGCTATTAGTTGACTGCAAGAAGTGCAGCAAGGAAGCTGTGTGCTGGAGAACAGACCGAGGAAAAAGTATGCACATTAAAATCAGGGTATACCCACGGAGCATGCATCAGTGCACATATCGAAATCAATGCGCATGATACTGTAAGGTTAAGCACGAGTGAAATGTGATGAATAATTCACTGTTTTCTTGATGAGCAAAAGCGATGTTGTCATCACAGAGTTTGATCGTTCGCAATAGCCACTTCGGCGGTTTCGCCTTAAAGATATGGTTATGGCTTTATGAAGACCTGTTCAGTATTGCTCTACGTCAGTTAACTTTATGTTTACCGATATAATCTAGTAATATACATACTATATACAATGTATTGTAAGTGAAAATGCACCTTATAATATTGTCCCCTTACAGAGCGAGAACATTCCTGAGTGTCAAAATTCGTAGTCGGTTTAGGTAAAAATCAGCGGCCCAGGATTTGCCGCCACCTTGCTAGCAGTTGCTGAGGCGAAAGTTTCCCTGAGTCAGAAGAAGAGCGAATATCTGCTCTGAGGGTGACGAAACGTCTTTAGCGAACCGGTAACCGTATGCTGGGGCCCAAATGGAACTCAGTGACAGATCGTCCAAATAGCGTTTTTAATCAAATACATAGAGATTATGAACCGGAAACAAGGCACTCTCAGGCACACTGAGAGTAAAAAAAGTACCCGTGGAGGATTCTAACGTATTTCATAGCCTATTCTATTCCACTAGATTATTCAAGCGTAGTCGGCAAATTTCCGTTGTTTTTCGGACACCCTATGAGGGCACTTTTTTCTACATCTGAAACAAATAAAAGCACAGGATAATGATAAGAATACTACACAACCAGCTACGAGAACAATTTTAGGGCGAAGAATTTCATTGAAGCGGATCAGAAGGCTCGGTTCAATGAGAACTCGGACTTCCGCTGAAGCATCTCGTCCGATTAGATCATAGTTGATCAACTGTATCACGTATTCGCATTCGCGACCAGGAAATGTCACTTCAGCCGATGTTTCGGTCTAAAATGTTTTTGATTGACGAGATGTATCCCTATGCTAGCTACTAATTTGACAAATAAAAAACCTACCGATTTAACGTTAAGAGTTTCCTTCTGAATTTGGCATCCATCATTATAAGAAAGAGCATAGTAGACCACTTGATAAAAAAGGATGTTTTGTGGGTCAGCTGACGGTTTCCAGGAAATCAATCCTGTTCCATTTGAACGAAGAACAATAGTTAAGTCGGATACTGCCTCAGGCACTGAAATTGGGAGAGCCATTCGAGAGTAATCAGTTCTTATTTACTGCTTATTTTTTTTCCATGACAGGGTATGGTGTGAAATATAACCACAGTGATGTTCAGATATTTGAAAAACTCCGGACCGCAGGTGTCTACAGTGGGGATAAAACACGCTTTTATCCTTTCCGGCGGCTAACGTGTTCACCAGCACACCATGCAGGTCCTTCGTTTTGTCTGTCTCTCAGCCATGTTTCTAACATTCGAGAGTGTTAGAGTTTGAATGATCTTCTTTAGACCCACAACATTGAAGACTTCCACGTCCATGGATATCTTTGCACGGAAGAGATCTAAAGTTGGTGGTAGTTGGATTGCTGACTTTAGTCTTGTCAACAGAAATAGCGGCTACAGTGACCGAGTAGAGTGTGTCGAATTCGAGATGAGGTAGAAGAATGGATTTAGATGAATCCTGGAATAAGAGGATTACGCCTTGAGGAAAGTTGTTGTGAAAAGCGATAAACTAACCGCAGTGATATCGATAGTGACTTGAAAAGAGCTATTGCTTAGTTGAAGCTTGTAATAGCACGAATCGAGAGGTGTACGGGGCCATTCGATCTGGGCAGTTACACCGCGGTCAGAGTTGTAGCCGTTTTTTACGGTCAACATTGTGTCTAAATAGTCAAATAATAGCATTGAAATGAATAGTTTTAGAAATAAAGGAAAAAGATTTCAAGTACGGCGATTCATAAAGATTAGGAGCATTATAACCTATTACGATCATCACTTCTTAAAGTTTTCTACAGATCACGACTAAAACACACTGGTTATCGATTTCTCGTCATTTCACTTGATAACATCTGGTTAGACTACTACCTAGTCCCTTTGGAGAAGAGTTGCTCGAAATTTCTGTCCATGAGCTCGAAACGGTATTTCCAATTCTTCCACTAGGTCCGACCGCCGTGACCATGAACCGATATTGTACTCCGGGAATGAGTCCATTGACTTTGAAAAAGGTGCTCGATTCAATCTGAAGGATATCGATCGATGGATATCACTATGAAAATGTATGGATTTCTTGGTTGAGTCCGTACCGACGATGTGACCCATTGGCTTTCGTCATAGAATCCCATCACCTGAGTTCGTTGCTTCCATTGAACGATGAATCTAGTGATATTAGAACTCAGTTGCCAGTAAGGTTACTTTGACTGGTTAAAAATACCTAATGGCTCCACTTGGTCGTAGAAGTGAGACGCTGACGAAACCTTCAGCGGATTCTCCAAATTCCTCATCAGGTGATGGATTTTGGCATATAAGTTCCACCGTGGAAATTACTGTGGAGCCAACTCTTGCTAAATTTAAAAAATGAAGACGATGGTTAATTGTAAATTTATAGAACAATTTATATGATTGCAAACCACTTTCGGCACTGCTCTCGGCCCAGAATCGTTGTCCATCAGCTATTGAGCTCATTGTTAACCCCGGTTGTCCTTTTTTATGAACACGACGATGCTGATGGCATCCAGAATCGCACTTAAAGAATGAAATAATGTAGAGGTGTCGTTGAGAAGGTAACAAAAAAATCTACCGCTTCAGCGTCTTTGTTTCGAACATCGAGAAACTCTTCAATGGAGCCATCAAGAAGGTGGTGTGTAGAAGGAACACCATACTGAAAAAATGTTGTCACAATATCAAATTTTCTGAGGATTGCTGCCATGCATTCCACTTCTTTGAGGACTATGGAGGTGATTGAATGGATATCTGACCTATACAAATGGCTTGCAGGGGTCAGCCGACATGTCAAGTCAGTTTGTAAACTTTTTATTTCTTATTCTTTGCTTTATGGCAGGGTGTGATATGAAGTATAACAAGGCGCTGAGATATGAACAAAACTGGAAATCTCAGTTGGGCTTCGAAGCCACGACTACATTTCCGATGGCTCACTTGGCGCCCATTAACTAGGTTGCTGACAAGTGATGGTTGGTAGCACCAACAGTGATGGTTGGTAGCATCAACAAAGTAAAAACATGCCTGAGAGAAGGGCAAAACATGGTATTAGTTGGTGTGGTGGATAGCGTGTAGCGTGTGAGCCTCTGATAAAGGCATTCGCGAATTCGATGTGCAAATGAGGTTTCGAGTTTTGCTCATGTCTCAGCATCCTTGTGGTCATCAACCCAGTGTTTGCGTCCTTCCAAACAAATCTCGTACCAAATACCTGTCTATTACGGAGGTCCCTTAAGCAATGCGCTATGAGTGTCCATGAATATCAACATCAACAATCATGGATTGTAGTGGAAGATTCTCTTACCTTTTGCATGCATTTTGCTAAGCACTGTGCCAGGCGGAAATAGTGAGCATAGTCTATCTGGATGTACGGTAGCACTGTGAACGTCATTACTGTTTGCAGTAGCGTCACAACGATGTATAAATGACGCATAACAATCTGTAAACATGGAGCTAAGAACTGTAAAGGAGACAAATTCAGAACGGCACACGAGAACAACTTTTACTTCTCTTCCTCCTTCTCTTCGATCTTCCGTTTTTCGTGCTCAAAAAAAAAACAAAAAAAAGGAAAAAAAGAAGAAGAAGAAAGATCTTTGGAACTCAAGATCAAAATGACCTATTACGAATGTAAGATGGATGCCCTTATGGTGGTATATACGAATAACTTCTTGAGCTTATTATGATCAATAATAGCAAAAAGGTGGTGCCGAAGTTGTAGATGAAATTTCGAAATTGTGACATATTGAGAGGTAAATCGTAAAGTTGACGGATCGATGGTATTTAAGCTGACATATGTCGCGCGATTATTTACTAAGAACAATGTACTTAAGTGATGTATAGACAATGATTAGGAGCGCATGTAGTGCAGAGTTTAAAGAGGCACTGTAAAACACACATGGTCGTTGGTTCGATCCTGCGTTTAGGGGCACGCCATTCTTCCGGAATTGCCAAGCACCAGACTCGCCTAGGAAAATGAAAATACTGACTTGATACACTGGTAGATCCTCGTTATCCATTGCATTGGCAAAATATGAGTTCAATCAGCTCTGTAATCCTGTGAATAAAGTCGATGCATCATGGCGAATCCCTCTTGGATTTTGATTAACGTTGAATTTTTTGCTTTTCGTAGAAAAGAATACTTCTGGCGACTTCTATAGGCTATCATTTTCCATAGACCACATAGAATTCTAACAGATTTAATAGATTTCTACCTATTCATGTCTTTAAACACTTTTTCTCACTTACTAGATCTCTCGTCAAAAAAAAGTGGCAAGGTCGTGATTATCCCATATTCTGCCGACGAAGGGAATTCTATCATACCGTACGCTTACCGCTTTACATTGCTGATAACCTTTGACAGTAGCAGTTTTAACGGAACGACTTTAAGATGAAACTTTCACCACTAGTGATCATTTTCGCCAGTAAATAATGTGCGACCAAGTGAGCAAGTAAATCATGGAACAAATGAAGCTCAGTCGGACTGGACTAAAGAGAGTAAGAGGTGCAGTAGCAGTAATGACGGCAAATGAATGGGACGAGAACTCTCACACGCATGCGGTTAGTCAGTGAATTGACGAGATGTTGATGACGAATGAAGTGAAAGTGAAGTGGTTGATAATTAAAAGCGGAACTAACTAATGATTGAATTTTAAAACTAGTAGTTTTAAAGAGGAAACCAATTTGTAGATTGATCAGAATTAAACTCAGAGACTTTTTCTCCGGTGGAAAATCTCATCCGATCACGATAAGCACTCAGATGGCTTGCATGAATTGAAAACTTACTAAAATAGCATTTGCTTACTATAAGCTAGTAATGGAGGCTGTTCGAACACCTATTTAGCACCTAGGCTCCGACGTGAATTGATTTCCACTCACGCGGTGCGAAATAAGGAGAGCTTTAAATTTTAAACCGGGATGTATCAGTTCGAAGAGAGCTCACGGAAATTTCAGAATGCAAGAAAAGGAAAATGAGAAAAAAAAGAAAGGAAAAAGAAAGGAGAAAAGAAAAGAAAAGTGCAAAGAATGGTAGGAATCGAAATCGGTGGGATTAAAATCAACTATATCTGGTTATTCAAAGGTAACTTGTCCTCGTGTAGTTCATTTACTGCTTTTAAATCAAAGCAGCACAAGGACTTGTAGAATTAAGAATAACACTGGATAGAATCATAGCTGAATAACAACAGCTGCTAGCGTAACTGAACTATCGTGGTGTTGTCGTGTTCTTGTGGGGTATGAACCTCTCCAGAGGTCATGACGTAATGCCATCAGCCTTCTAGTCACTAGTGAACAAATGTGTTAGATTGTTATACAATATGAACTACAATCACAGGTGACGTCACGATGTCAGTTCACACAATATATTCGGCATACAGTAAGAAAATAACGGTAAGGTGTTGTGACGTAACCTTAGTCGGGGAAAATAATAAAGAATCCTACATACTCTCGACAGCAGGCGTCAAGGTCAAATAGATCAAGGTAGATTCCAAACTTAAAAAGAGCTTTCTTCAGCTTTCCTTGACAGAAGCCTTGGAAATCTGCTTAGAAGAAAGGAAAAAAACTGACTCTGGATTTAATATAAGCTCCCTATCGGTTGTTGATTGAGCATGTTAAGATTTATGCAACATAAAAGGGATGTACAGGTTGCAGAATGAAGGTGACTACCATAACCTCTCAGTAATCGTCATCTTTGTAAAAAAAAACGAGGAATGATGGAACGAACAGTATAAACATCACGGGAAACTATCACCATGAAATAAGAACCATGGAGTTTTACAATAAAATTCTAGCACACGAGAGCCTTGGACTACATGATTCTTATCACGGGACTAGTTGAACATTGTAAATCTGAGTTTGAGTGTTTACTTGGAAGTGGATCGCCCTTCCCTTCCTCATCTTCAATTTTCTGTGAAAAAACGGTGGTTTATGGTGGACGAAGATTTTTGAACAAAGTAATCAGTACTTGTTGGAAAATCTCTTCAGTGGGATTCAAATATCTGACAGGAGTTTTATTAGGGGTTTTTTTTTGAAGCAATAACAGCCTTGATGTGAAATCAGTACTCAATCACTTTAAAGTGTAGCCCATGAAAGATTGGCTTGCATCTGATCGTCGAAAATACGGATTTCACCATCGATTAGCAAGGAGATAGTGATTGATGATATGATATGAGGACGCTAATCTCACAACTTAACAGGATATTAGAAACAACTACAGAATATCTTCAGACTAAGCTGTTATAAATGAGTGCTCATACAATTCTATATAACACTAATTTTTGGGTAAGGTTCTCTGAAAGGTCGGTATTTGCCAGTAATGGTCAGAAAATCGATAATTTAAACAAAAATCGATATGCAGCAAAGACAGTAATAAAGCATGCAGCCGTTTCTTTTGTGATCCTAAGCCGCTCAATGGGCTCCATTTACTCGAGAGACATGGAGGCCACCACACTTGGCGCATGAATCGCTTTATTCTTACTACTTTCTTCTCCGAATCGGCACCTATGGATGACTCGGCACTAGAGTCCGGTCTGCAATAGAAGAGATGGAAATGTGGCTCATGCGGCTAGAAGATGGTATAAATCCACTGGTTCAGTGCAGTTTCCTGTCACTTGATTACAACTTTTCGACGAATCAAAATGCACGAGATAGAAGAGAAATACCCTGCACCCAAGTATCACCCACTCACATAGTCATTCTACTACAGCATAAACACTAACTCCTAACCTCAACTGTTCAATAGTTTTGCATCCAAAGCAGACATATGATCGCTTTTCTTCCATACTTCAACTTAGCTACTTGCCATAGTGGTCCTAAGGAGGTACGGAAGGAAGAAGTAACTCATTAAGAGTGAATTATAATTATAATTAGAAAAAATCCTTGCTTTTTAACAGTGAAAAAGTTAAGGAGAGATCTTTGGAGGACGGACGATATTAATGGAACTCATTGTGTATGGCTGCAATTACAAGTCTGTCAAGGTAATTGGGACAAACATGGCCTGCTAATTGATTGCCTTAGTTATAAAAGATATGATAAGCAGAGAAGGGCGTTTTTGCACGTCTTTTTTGCAATTAAACAAAGTAAAGGATAATTCTTGCAAAGATGTTTGTTTACAAGCCGAGAGTGAAAGCCATAGCGATTTGGACTTCGGCTACGAAATCTCTTTTTTTAACGTAGTGGAAATGATTTGAAGACTTTGAATTTTTTGCCATACTTACAGAAATAGACATTGTTTTGGTTCCAATTGACTGAAAAAGGCTATGAAAACCATTAAAGCAAACGGTGAGAAAAAGAGAAGAAACAATTCATGAGGAAGATGAAGTCTTCAAATACCAACCGAACCCTTCAGGAATATCTAAAAATCTTCTTGAATGATAGAACTAGGGCTATAACGAAAATGAATGATGTGCTGGGATCTGCGCAATATGCTACTATTGAATTATGTAGATAAATATGTTGTAAAGCGCTGATGGATTCACTTAAAGTAAAGTCGATAACGATCGGAAGTTCAGATGTAGGAGATGTTGAAAACCAGCGCTCAGATTCCAGCAGCGCTGTCGTTATACGATTGCGCTGTTCGAATATATTATTACACAACCTAATTTTCTGGTGACGTAATGGTATCGTGGACGGAACCGGCATGATTTACAGCTCAACTGTCTCAACGAAAAGTAGTGTAATTTCAGCAGCAGCTTGCTTCTAGAAGGGTTTCAGGTCAAGTGTTGTATTAAATGCAGCATAGGTTGTGGCGCTGCCTAACGAAATTGGCTCTTTCGTGGCTTACAAGCTTAATCTTTGTCCCGACAATGCACGGACTCTCATCAGTTGCGATACAGAATCTAACGTTTGCCACACATCGCAACGCTGTCGAGAGGTGTTTTACTTAGCTCTAGTAGTTCCACACGTTCTTGAATTGTTGGATATCAATCTTGGATGGCTAAGGAATTGTTCATGGTCTTCCTGGACGCTTCCGCCTCCAACGGAAGATTTTTGAAACCAGCATCGTATACCATGGTCGTTATGGTCGTTAACGTCTTATTGGCCAGCGACCCGTTTCAGCGGCTTTTTGTCCCAGTTTGAATTCGTCCAAAATGTCGTTCGCATTTGTTTTTTTTCCCAATTTTTCTTATTAGATGAATTCGGATTAATATGGAAAGAAGAACTTTTGTGCACAGTTATAGAGCAAAATCAAATCAAAATTGAAGTAAATCTACTAACGCAGATGAAAACGATAAGAAGATGATTAAAAGGATTTTCAGAAAACTACAGTCTAATCGTGCTGCATTAAGAGTAAGTGATAATTTTGGCTGGGATCACAAGAATGTCCAACGAATGTAATGTGAGAATGCGTCGTTTTCTTGTTCAGCTATCGTGAGGTTGTTAAACAGCATACAGGCTCTGAAGAAGGCGATTCTACCGAAACGTCAACTAGTGTTGTAT